AAAGAAGTATGTTATATACATATATGTGTTTACTTGTCTACATAAAGCAAATGTCCAAAGAAAGCTTTTCCCTTTTCAGTAAGTTTTTGCCATTACCAAATCTGTGATTGGAAATAAAACACAGTTAAGTCTCAGGATTCAAATCCATCTTACGCAAACTCAAGAACCAAAGAGATTCTGCTAAACTTTGAAGAGTCCATTGTTTGACAGATTCTATTGTTTGCCGTCATTATCTGAACTCTCACTCTTGCTATCCGAAACTCAGGAACTGAACAGATGTAGATGACCCAGTATTCACTATCCAGACTCTTACTATCCAAACTCAGGATATGAATGCAGCAGATTCAGACTGCAAGGAATACCTGTGAATCTTACAAAATTTTAAATATAATTTCACATGACTTACAGAATTAGGGGGTTTTTAGCAACATGCAAGTAATCTACTAAAATCACATAAACACTGGCTGCAAAACAGATCTGAGAAAACATCTTTTTATACCATATTTTTTAGTAGATTGCTGGAACAACTTATTAAGTTATTGCTCCTCAGCTCCAACTCCCATCCCTTCGTCTCAATCTGCTTTAATGACGCTGGAACTGGGACTCTGCACACCACATTTCTGCTTTGCCTGCTGGTTTCCTATAAGGCTTTGCTAAGAGGGAGCACTAAAGACGGACTGTAATCCTGGGGAAGTAAAAAGATACTGGAGCCTCCTGTCTATTCTTTTGGCTTCATAAGAGCGTTACCCCAGCAAATGCTTCTTCATCCCTAGAGCAGCAGAGCCTCCCGGTAGTAGAAAGTGAATCCAGTTTACAGCTCTTCCAGCACCTGTGGAACTAGCTTCATCACACCCAACTCAGAGACACCAGCAGCAGCCAGCACCCTTTCCTCAGAGGTCTGGGTTTCAAACCCACGGGATCCCTCTTCTGAGCTCAGACACTAGCAACAGCCACGTAGTGCCTTCTCTTTACAGGTCTGAGTTTTGGTTCTACAGGGCCCTTCCTCTAAGTCTCTAGGTTTTCCCTTTAGTCCCTGAGCCCTTAGTGCTGGCAGTTGTTTCCAGAAGTGTCTATGTCCTTGATACTTTAGAATTTTATTTTTATCCCTTCTGTTACCTAGTCAACAACTTTATATCTAGTCGATTGTATTAAAATATTTCTGTTCCAGTAACTGATGTGGTTTCTGCCTCTTGACAGAATCCTGACTGAGAAAAGAAAACAATCTCATCATACAGAATATGACGTTACTTATAGTGACTTTTGTTAAAATGCAATTCTACTCATACCAGCAAGTAAAGAACAAAGTGTCAGTTAAGAGCAATTTGGTTACAATTAAAGAGTATTCTTAGTTGTTGCTACAAAATCTTTAACAATCACTCTTTTAAAGAAAATCTGGGGGGCCTTTTTCTAATTCACACATAGTATGCACTGGTATAAAATTACATGATATGAAGAGATTTACAATGGCTATCTCTGTCTTTCCAAATTTTCTACAATAAACATGTATTACTTTTTAATCATAAAAATACAGTGAGGAGGCCGGTCGGGTGGCATAGTGGTTAAGTTCATGCACTCTGCTTTGGCAGCCCGGGGTTCAACAGTTTGGATCCCAGGTGCAGACCTACACACCACTTACCAAGCCATGCTGTGGCAGGTGTCCCACATATAAAATAGAGGAAGATGGGCACAGATGTTAGCTCAGCGCCAATCTTCCTCAGCAAAAGGAGGATGACTGGCAGCAGACGTTAGCTCAGGGCTAATCTTCCTCAAAAAAAAAAAATATATATATATATAATGAGTGTAATTTTAAAAATAATCCTAGTGCCAGTACCAGTGGCCTGGTGGTTAAGTTTGGCACACTCACTTGGCAGCCTGGGTTCAGATTCTAGGCACAAACCTACACCACTTGTCTGTTTAGCAGCCATGCTGTAGCGGCAGCCCACATAAAAAAGAAAAACAGAGCAAGATAGGCAATGGATGTTAACTCAAGGCAAATCTTCCTCAGCAAAAGAAAAAGAAAAATCTTAACACATTCAGATTAAAAAAGGATCCAATATCATCTACAGAAAACAATACTTGTTTATCCTAAATACTTAAAGGAAGGGGAGAAAAAGTTTTAATCCATTTACTAACTACCCTCTCCTACACAACAAACTTTTAAAATATGTCACTTTCATTCCACCCTGTACCTTCACTTACACATAAATTGTCCATTACCACTCTTACCTATGCCTACAAACTCCTCCCTGTCTACCAGTTTTCTCATTCCCAGCCACATGTCCAGTTCTTCTCCACCACCTCATATGCTTGAGGCTAGCCACTTCCTAGATATACAGGTAGTAAATACAGGATGTAACAGCAGTAATGTATATACAAGGCAGGTATGGCAAACAAGCAGTGTCAGTGGGTATGAGTTACTTTAAGAGTTCTGGCTCTATTCCTACTTGGATAGTGTAGCTAGGGAGGCCGTTTCTGGCTTGGGTGAGACTCTATGGGAAAGCAGACTAAAATTTACTGTGGTTTTAAGTAATCCAGTTTCTCTCTCCCTCACCAAAAAATAGTCATTCTTTCCTTCTCCTCCTCATATCAACCCAATGCTTGCTTCCAGTTAGAAAAATCAATGACAAACAGCAGTCTTCTATCCATACATCTGAGAATGAGAAGTCTCTGCTTTATAGATGGACCATATAGAATATTACAGAAATGAAAAACATATATAAGGATACTAAATATCCCAACTCAGATGCCATAGAGCTTCTCAGTTTACGAATTAAATGCTAAATTTATAGCTATATCCACAAAAAATTTTGATTCTAGAATACTACGCACAGAATTATAACACAGAGTGAGCAAATTATAAACTAACTCATGGTATCTCTTCTCTATTTCATCATCCCTTCCAATTCTATAATTCTATCAAGCAAAAAGTTAGGTATATATTATTCCTAACCCAATGTCATATATAAGCTTCACCTAAACACAAATACTCAAATAAAGAGATGTGAGATATCAATGACTACTATATGATTGCTTCAGCATATCCCACAACTAAAATATCTTTTTAAGAAGTCTAATTGGTGGAAGATCAAAGTATGCAAAATATCCTGATATGACTATATTCAAAGTTTTAAATATTCAAAAAAAAAGGTAAAATGACTCCTCCCATCATACTAAGCAGAAATCACTGTTTAGGCAAATTAGTTCTATAGTAGCTTTGGAGATCAAAGATGATAGTCTTTAAAAAAAGTTATTTTCAGAGCTATAAAGATATCCCTTATTTTGGGTGGCGGGGGGGAATCACATGGACTCCAGCAAAGTAGAAAAGTACTCTCTCCTTCTATTTCCATTATAAACTGGAAGATGCATTCTCAGGGGAAAAAATGCCATAATGGCATGGAGTAAAGTTTTTCTACTGAGGAAAAAGGATAGCAGCCTTGGCCTGCTGAAAATCCAAGCATATAAAAACTAAAAAGGCAACTTCAGCTTTCTTTTGTGGCATTCCAGACAACCAGAATTTCCTTCAAGCCTAAGGATTTCTTGACTTCACATTCGTGGCTCTTAACAACTTTGTATTCCTCCTTTCCCTCCTTCTGCCCTCCAAAGCTGGGCAATTCCAACTTTCTTCATCACTTACTCTGTTCCAGCCACACTGACCACCTCATTGTTCCTCCAATATACAGGGCAAGTCTCCTGCCTTGCCACTTCCTGGAGTCCCTCTACGTGGAATGATCATCTCCCACATACCCAACATAGGGCTCATTCCATCACTTTTTCAGGTCTTCATTCAATGTTACCTTTTCAGTACAGCTTTCTCTCTATTTCCTATTCCCCTTCTCTATTTTATTTTTCACCTTAGCCCTTATCACTGTTACTATCTCACTGATACTTCTTACTTATCTTGTTTATTAATTGTTCCTTCACCAGAATGTAAGCTCCATGATTACAGGATTTTTACCTGTTATGTTCAATACTGTAGTCCCAGCATTTAGAATAGTGTCTGACAAGACATTAGGTGCTCAATATGCTGAATGAATAAATGATACAGCTAGCCGCAACACTACATGTAACTGTGTAGGTGCTACCATCAACACTTCATGTTCTAGTCCAAAAGATTTCAATTAACAGATTCGATTTAGGTTTTTTTCAAACTGTGCTGTAGGAACTGCAGCAATCCCTCAGGGGCAACTGTGAGAGAAGCTCATGGAAGCCAAAGCAAGCAGAAAAGTCCTGCATTTATCTGTTTTAGTCACTGAATTTCACATAAGATTTAATTTGTACAAAGGATTTAGCAACTTCAAAAATACCTAAAAATCGCTGGGTTATATATAACAACGTAGTTCCTACTTTTTACAGTTTACTTATTTACTGTAAATGAGGATAATCTAGGTATCATGTTTACATCATCCTTTAGAAAGAGGTTAAAATTAGCACCTCATCTTATTTAATAATCTGCTACAAAGGCAATGAAAATTTACTATGTATTTTCCAATTAAAACAAGTAGAGAGCAGATTAGTTCTAAAAAAGGAATGATAAGCATAAAATTAGGTTATTTCATGTACAAGAATATGTAAGTTCACTAAGTGGAGATTAAGAAAAGATCCAAATCCCATTACCACAAACATCTCTAAGCAAAACTCTCTCTCCCAACCCCGTCAAATAGCACTATTTGACAAAACAAAACACAATACAGTCATGCGCCACATAACTACGTTTTGGTCGACAACAGACCGCATATACGACAGCAGTCCCTTAAGATTAGTACCATACTGCCTAGGTGTGTAGTAGGCTATACCATCTAGGTTTGTGTAAGTATACTCTATGATTCTCACACATGATGGAATCACCTAATGACGCATTTCTCAGGACACAGCCCCATCATTAAGCAACGCATGACTGTATTTCATTCTGAACCTCACCTTGAAATTCATTCTAATATGACGTGACCAGCATAACTTTTAAAATGCTACATGTTCTAATAAAGAAAAAGAATAGCACTCACCTTAATGAAGTTACAGATGGACAAGCCTGTCCATACAAACCCATCTGGCCACAAAGAGAATCTGAAAAGTAAAGAAAAGTTAGTTATCAGATGCTCCAAAGCAAATCAAACTATAAACCAAGCAACAATTCTAATTAAAACACTCTGCAAATAGAAATAGAAAGCTAGAAGATTCACCATTATCTGAACACGTACCCACATGAATCAAAATGCTACTGAGTTATAAGAAGAATTACACTGAGAAAGACAGACGTACCAGGAAGTATAAGAGAAACGGGCACACTAAATAACTACAACATCCAAAGAAGCTGAAAACTGATAAAATTTAACAAATTCTTATGTTTTTATGTTATAGCGTTATAGAGAGAGTGTGTTCAAACTGTTTAGTAGAATCCTAGGGATTCTAAGAAGGATTCTCTGTAATCCCACAGAGAGGTGCCTAAAGGCTACCAAAGAGCTGACCATGCAGGTTCCCACCTCCACATAAGTGTCCACCACCCCATCTACTCCTCAATCAAAGCAGTGCTATCTTTATTGGTTTTATACAGTGGACTTTACTAAGACTTCATCTGAAGAACAGTTCCATTGCTTTAAAAAAAAAGTTAAGAATAGCACTAGAACAGAAGGAGCTTTCATTGAGACAGTTCTAGGTTCAAATTATAGCTGTGACACTATGAAACCTTGAAGAACTTGTAGAACCTCACTGAACCTCAGTTTCTTCATCTGTACCTTGGGGATAATAGTACCTATATAACTTTATTTATCAGGGATAAATCTGGAGGATTGCTGTTAGAATAAACACAGTCATGTGCCACATAACAACATCTCAGTCAACAACAAACCGTATATACAACTGAGGTCTCGTAAGACTAAAACCACACAACCCAGGTGTGTAGCAAGCTATATCACCTTGGTTTGTGTAAGTACACTCTATGATGTTTGCACAATGACAAAATGGCCTAATGATGCATTTCTCAGAATGTATCCCCATCATTAAGCAACGCGTGACTGTAAATTTATGAATGTGAAATTGTCTATTAGCACTACCACCTGGCACCAGGATGATCCACAAATGTCTACAGGTAACATGAATGAGAGATGTTGGAATGAGCATAAGTGTATATATATGCATACACTGCACAAGCGGTGGAGACTGTGAGCAACTAAAGAAAACAGGTTCACTCTAAAGAGATCAGCCGCTATTCTCAGTTCTAGCCAACTGCTGCTAAGCAAGATTGCAAGCCCAGTACCATAAGAACTTATTTTTCAACAGAAGATATCCAAAATTTTATTTGAAATCTCCTGATTTTTATTTTCTAAATACCATGTGGGCCAAACAAAACACTGGATTATGTCCCAAGTTACTAATATTTGATTTAGAGGATGACTTAATTCTCTGCGTCTAATTGTCCCTGCATGCACTGAAGAGAGAGACACTTCTATTTCTGCCAGAACGACAGAATAGATAGCTGGACCAAGCTATCTATGCCTACTGAAAACACAGACATAGGATAAAATTTTTTGAAATCTTTATAAATTAATCAATAACCTTAAAGAAAATAAGGTATGATCAAGATCAAAAACAGTGAAAGAGGAAAAGTAGACAAACATGCAGAGTACTGAAACCAGCTTTCATTCACCTTCAGGGCATTTTGCCAAACATTATGAACTTCAGCTCACAATTCCAAGGCCTACTGGGACCCAAGGTACAAGAGGTAAAGTCCAGGTGTTATCCGAGAGAAGTGCAAAGAAAACTGCTTCTCAACCTTGGCACTGAGAGCCGATGAGTGGATGGAGACTATGAGAGCAGCACAACAGTACCTCCCCTGGTATTCACAACCACAAACTTCACCTAGATTATAGTTTAGAAAGCTTCATACCTAGAACTTTGTTTAGGGTAGTCCTAGAATTACCATTCTAGGTCCCCCACCCAACCTTTACAGAAGCAAATGCAAATCCTCTCTGGGGAATCTGTCCTTGATCTAAGCCTGGAAGAATTCCCACAGATCAAGGTTCTAAGGTTCCAAAATAAATAAATTCACAATCAAAAATGACAAAATTCAGAAGGAAACAAGCAACTCAGAGTTAAGATACAGCTGAAATACCAGTTGGCAGAATCAAACTCTCAAAGACTTCGGATATGGCAATCACTAGACACTTTACTACTTTATGGATGATCTACCGGCTCCTGTATCTCAATTGCCTGCGTGCAGATGAATCTCAAATCCACCTCGCTAGCAGGGATCAATCTCCTGATCTCCAAACAGAAATATCTAACATTTCCTCCTGGAAATCCCAAATTTACCATGTCCAAAACTGAATTCATCATCTTTAATGTATTTCCTATTTTGACACAATGGCACAGTTCTTCTATCTAAGAATGGCTTTCAGGATTCCAGCCTAACTCCTTTCTTTTCCTTTGTTAGAACAAAATCCTTCTTTTCAACTCTTTATTCCTATGAGGAATGCCTTCTTGAAACACTCCTGGGCTCTTAGGCCACTCTCACCGAAGAGGTAAGTAACCTGGTTAGGGGGCAGAGCTAACTCCAGGACTCTACAAGACAGTGAGTGATATGAGTGTGCCTGCTCTGTTGACCCAAGCAATCTAGACATGAGGTGGGCTGGCCCCTGGTCTAGACTGGGTTCTGTTGGGTGGGGACAAGACAATGTGGAGAGTTAGTCAGACCATTGAGCTCTTAAACCTAAGCCACATTCTACAATATTCTACAACTATCAGCTGGACCAAAATCAAAGGTAATTCCTCCAAAAGTTACCATATGACCCAGCAATTCTACTTCTAGGCATGTGTGTGTGTGTATGTATGTATGTATATTTAAAATTCTCTTGGGGATACACATACATACACACACACACACATACACACACACACCCCCATATATGTACATATATGTATGTGTGCATATATATATATATATATATATATATATCTCCATCCAAGAGAATTTGAAACACGTTCACACAAAAACTTGCACACAAATGTTCATAGCAGCATTATTCATAATAGTCAAAAAGTGGAAATATACCAAATGTTCATCAACTGACGAATGGATAAACAAAATGTGGCATATCTATTCTATATCCATATAATATACAATAAAATATTCTTCAGTCATAAAAAGGAATGAAGTACTATTACATGCTACAACATGGATGAGAGCCTTCTGCTAAGTGAAAGAAGCCACACAAAAGGCCACATATTATGATTTCACATTTACAAAATTTTCAGAATAGACAAATCCTAAAGATGGAAAGTAGACTAGTGCTTAGAGGTGGGGGGAGGGGGATGGGGAGTGAATTATAACTGATTTCTTTGTGGAGTGATGAAAATATTCTGGAATTAGATAGTGGTGATAGTTGCACAACCTTGTGAATAAAAATCTTTAGTATAAAACCACCAAAATGTACATTTTAAAATGGTGAACTTTATGGTATGAGAATTTTTATCTCAATAAAAAACTAATTTTAAAAACGGTAATGTTTCATTTTCTCATCCTTTGGTTCTTGTTTCTCAGTTAGTTCAGAACTCAAGCAAGGGAAAAGGATATTTTGAATCCCCCAAACATCAACACCCTTAGGACCCCTAATTAGTTACCATTCACTACCAACTCTAGTGCCTAGATATCTTTCTAATCTGCTTTAGCCTCAATGCCTTAGTTTGTTTTCTCCATTTTAATCTAGATAACTGCTCCTAAATGGTGTCCTGAACCCCAGGCTGGTTAACGGAAAGTACAAATACATGCCAATCTTCTTCTCCCTACCCAGGCAAGTGACCAGCAACATGGAAATCTCACCAAAGGCGGCTAAGCTTCACAGTGAAATCAGGAAAATCTCAAAATGTCTTTTAAATTACAGACTCACATCTCTGGAGCCAATTAAAGTTGAACAATTATATACACTCAATTACATCCATAATTTATACAGTTTAGTTCGTGCCAATAGCACCTACTAGCATTTTCTCCAAATCCTTTGAACACCAACATGCAAGAAAGTTTGTATAGAATGACAACCAGAATATCGGTAGTAAAAACCAGTCATTCACTGATGGGTAGGCTCCAACAGAAGCTACAGTATTATATCCCATCACCAACAGAAGAATATGGAATGTCTTTTAATACAAGCAGTCTTCAAGTGTATATTAAACTGAGTAACAAACTATTCACATTTAGGAAGCAGATGTTTAACAAACAGTTGTCTAATAATGCTTTATTTGAGAGCAGGAGGTGAAATGGGACTAAGTATTTTGAAAAAGCTCCCAAAAAATTCTTATGAGCCCTTCACTCCTCTCCTACCCACACAGAGATGTAATTCTTTATAGTTTACAAAGAACTTAGAACATCCATGACTTTAAGTCAAGACCTAGAATGGAATCCCAATTCTGACCTTGGGTATATTGTTAACTTCTCTAAAGCTTAATTTCCTCCTCTACACAAAAGGGACAATTCATGCCTCAGTTACTGTGACAATAGCTTAAATGAAACCACCAGCATAATACCAGACAAAAGAATTAAAAGTTTGTTGAAAATAAATGGTATAGCACTAGAGGTCAAGAGACTACTCCTTTTTTTATTTCTGAACTCAGCCCTATCTTTCAAAAGACTTGAAAGTATAAAATTCACTAGCATCCATGAAAGAATAATCCCTTTGATGCAGGCTGACTAAGCACTGTACGTTGTTATACCATTAGCCACAGGTAATCATTAAAACAGTCATGGAAATAACCTCTGTCTTAATAAGCCTAAACAGGAGAAATCTGCCAGAGGAAGGAGTAAAGGGAAAAGAATCCTCCTGGGTGAGTAGCAATCATCTGGTCATCTCAGCTCCACTAGCTAAACCTGAAGGCAGGGGAACAGCTTGACCTAAGAAGTGAGATCTTGGAGTCATATGGTCTCAGAAAGCAATTAAAATCATGTGAGAATGATCGATTCACCACAGGAGTATTAGAGGGAAAAGAGAGGCCAAAACTTAACTCTGAAGAACTCTAAAAGATAATTAAGGGAAGAGGAACTAGTTTTAAAAAAAAGAAAAAAAGGAGAAACTTGT